TATATATATATATATATATATATATATATATATATATATATATATATTTTTTTTTTTTTTTTTTTTGCTAATTGGATTAAAATTTTTTTGAATTTTAAAAATAAAATTCAGTCTAATTCTTGTGAATGATACAAGAACAATGTAAATAATCTTTTTGATAATAAATTGTTTATTTGTATATGTCATTTTGCAGGTAGGATATCTTAACTTATGTTAGAAAGTCTTAACTTACGAAATTATTTATTTAAAAACATATATATGGAATTATGGAGTCTTAAACAGAAATCATATACAGAGGGTTCTTTTAAAGAGAATTTAAATTTTTTTTGCGATTTTTTTTCAGGTTGTTAATGTAAATGTTTATTAATTAGAAGTTAATTTTTTTAAAGAAAGCCAATTAAGGACAATTTATAATCGTTGTTTCTGTTTAAGACTCCATAATTCCATATAAATGTTTTTAAATAATTAATTTCGTAAGTTAAGACTTTCAAAGATAAGTTAAGATACCTACTTGCAAAATGACATACATAAATAAACAATTTATTATCATAAAGATTATTTACATTGTTCTTGTATCATTCACGAGAATCTGATTGAATTTTATTTTTTAAATTCAAAAATAATTTTGATCCAATTTGCAAAAATTATATATATATATATATATATATATATATATATATATGTATATATATATATATATATATATATATATATATATATATATATATATACATATATATATATATATATATATATACATATACATATATATATAAATACATATATATATATATATACATATGCATATATATATATATATATATATATATATATATATATATATATATATATATATATATATATATATATATATATATACATACATATATATATATATACATACATACATATATATATATATATATATATATATATATATATATATATATATATATATATATATATATATATATATATATATATATATATAATATATATATATATAATAATTTGCTAAATTAGATAAGAAATTCGAGGTATAACCTGTAAAAATCTCTCAAGCCAAAAAATTCTTCTTTTTTGTATTTTTTTATTATACCACAATCATTTTGATTTTTATAAACATTCAAGTATCCCATTGTTAAAGGTTTGAATAAAGGTTCAATCCTTCCAAAAACATATTGATCATTTGAACATATGTTTCTAAAATATTATATATAAATAATACTAAAGTAATTAATTTTTTAATGAATAAAAAAAATTTTAAATAGTTTAGTTATCATATATAAATTTTATTATATTATTATATTTTTTTTATTATATTAATAAAATTATTGTTGCTATTATTATCACCTATATCATTATTTTTATTGCTATTCTTATTATATTATTATTATTATTATTATTATTATTATTATTATTATTATTATTATTATTATTATTATTATAGCTATAATTATTATTATTGTTATTATTAGTATTAATAATAATATTACCATTATTGTTGCTATTGATTTTATTGTTATTATTATTATAACTTTTATCATTATCTTTTGTATCATTGTTATTATTTACTTTAATAATATTGGAATAAATGTAGGGGTTAAAATACCTTGCAGTTTCAACTAGCTCATCAAAATCAGGCTGTCCTCTATATAACATAATTCCTCTATTCATTTTTGCAGGGTCAAGAGACCAGTTTGAAATGCCAATAAATGCCACTCTTTTGCTTTTAAGAGTAGAACCATCAAGTGTCAGTTCTTCAGAACCATCAGTACCATCTTCTAATAATGGGTGCAATGCTTTAAGAGGCATACGTGGAGAATCTTCTGCAAGACCAACTTCATCTAGTACAACAACAGAAGTAAAAGTTTTGAGATCTTTTTTTTCCTGATACCGGCTACACTGTTTGAATGTATTTATTATTCCTTCTGCTGTTGAAAGAGGACTGCATTGGTATGAAGACATAAAAATCTATTGTAAAGTTGGTAAGAAAAGTAGTTATATGTTTAAGATATTTATAAGCACAAAAAATGATAAGCTTATAATAATAATAATAAAGAAATAAATAATAAATAATAAAGGATGAAAATTTTAACTTAAAAGAAATTTAATTAAATTTTTTTAATCTAATTTACTTTTTATATTACAAATTTTATTTATTATTAAATTTAAATGTTATATTTATTAAAATTCCAAAAACTCTTTGAAAATAGTTTAAAAGACTGTTTCAATTTCAAGTCAGAATAAAACATTACCAAAGTGTAATACTTTAGCATTAAACGATACAAGCATTAAGCCTTTTTGAAATTTAAAAAAAAGAAACCTGCTTAAAATTTATAAACAGACGAGACTTTGACATGGTTCCTTGCATGCAATCTTGAATGATGGATTTTGCTAAAGACTTTGAACTTCCAGGTTTTCCAACAACAAATAAAGGTATACGCAATTCAATACAAATAACCATCATGAAAACGTTTTCACATAAAGCTTCATTATGAGCAATGTTATCTTCAAGTTTTATTTCACTCAAAAACTTTTTTTGAAGTCTAAAATTCATATAACATTATCTTTTAAATATAACATAAACTTTTAAATATAACATAAACTTTTAAGTATAACATAAACTTTTAAATATAACATAAACGTTTTGAGTAAGAATAATTAAGTATAATAAAAATACAGAAAATTATTAGATAAAATTATTAGATAAAAATGTTTTTCTAAATTTGAGGTTATAACCCTCTCTCAAATCAATAACTCCAAAACACAAACCTTGACAAACAAGGCTGCTGCATGGAGAAACAAGTTGAGTTATATAGAAAAACAAAACAAAAACTATTTCTTTCAAAAAGAAAATATAATATATAAATATAAAAAATAGAATAGTTTATAATATATAAAAAATGTATAAATGTATAATATATAAAAACTTAATAATAGAACGAATTAAAAAAACACTTTTACTGAACAACTTTGTCTTTAATATCCTGGGCACCATTTCTCAATTCAAAATGACCGGTAAAGAACTTAGAAATATATTTACGATAAGAATCACGATCTTCTAATTTTGCAATATAACATACATTTAATGAGTAGATTATTGCCAATTGCATTTTGTCAAAAATAGTGATCTAAAAATAAAACCAAAAAATGAAATCGATTGAAGGATTTATTATTATTATTTTTTGTTTTTTTGTTTTTAATAATATTTTTTCAGATATATTTTTTCATAATATTTTTAATAATAACATTTTATAATAGTATTATATAACAAGATATATAATAGTTTAATAAAAAATGGTATTATATAATAATATATAATAAAAGAACAATATATAACAATAACAATATTTTTATACTATATAAGCTTACTACTCAATAAACATCTTTCAAATTTTGGAAATAATATCATTTTTAGGAATTATTTAAAATATTTGGCACAAAATAAAATTTCTTGTTTTTAATAAAATTTCTTGTTCTTGCTGCGCTTGCTATATCATTAGATACAAGTGCTATCTTTTTAGATTTAAAGTACAAAGTGCATATTTATCGTTGCTGTAATGTTTCTAAACGAATGTGACCAGTTGCTTGATTGTATATTTACTGAGGTAGACTTTTATAGTTCATACCCATTCCACTTGGCTTAACCTGGACTTTACTCATGCATTTTGGTAAAATAATGAAAAATACAAGTCATTAAGAGATAGAATCAACTGATGTTAAAAGAATGAAAACATATTAAATAAGTCATTTAACATTTAGGAATTTTTAACATTTAGGAATTTTTAGCAAACATTTAGGAATTTTTAACAAATTGCTTAATTTGAAGCTGTTATCATAATTATCAACAATAAAACTTAAATTTCTATATTCTATATTGCCTATATTTTAGATAAGTGACAATTGTACTAGAGTGATTTTTTTTTTAAAATTTCAAGTGTACTAGAGTGATTTTAATTAGATCTTTATGTACTAGAGTTCTGTTTAGTCTTTGTTTTTTATCTTTGTTAATTTTTCTTTAGATCTCTAAATATTCATGAACCTTTTTTGTAACAACAATTGAACTTTTTTGCAGCTTTTTTCAGCAAACTTATAAATTTGAGTTTGCTGAAAAAAGTGATTAAAATTTTATTAAATTTGAGCCCTTTTCTTTATAGTGTTAATTAGAAATACTTGATCCTATATTTGACTTTAGGTGGACTTTTAGGTGGTTTTCATAATTCTTGGGATCAGATATGTCTATAAATATATTGATCTGGAGTAACTTTAAACTAAGAAGCAATTTGCAAAAAACCAATTCCCAATTGTACATGTTGATATCGTGTCCAAAAAACATAAACACAAACAAATTTTACCTTTAGTCCACTCTATTTAACATGTACAATTGTGTCCAAAAAACATAAACACAAACAAATTTTAACTTTAGTCCACTCTATTTAAAAATGAATAATTTCTCAAGAAAAAAAGAAATAACAACATTTAAAGGAAGTGTCAATTTCACAAAGTATAAAATTAGTTAACCAATGTTAGAAAATTTTTGTTGAATCAGTGAAATATTTGAATAATAAAAATAATTACTAATCAATATCTAAAAAAATTATGTTTGATTTTATGCCAATTTTTATTTGAATTACATTTAATATACATGAAATTTTTTTTTATTAAAAATGAAAGGTAAAATTTTTGTATTAAAAGTTTCAGAAATATTAAAGTTGTTTATAAAGTTGCTTTTTTTAACTTAATAAAATGGTTTTAAATTATAAACATTAAATTATAAACATTTAAACTTTCATTATCATACCTTGTCGTCAGCATTTGTAAATAAATCCATTCTATCATAAAACCAACTTGTTACTAATAATGCCCTTTCCACATCTCTTAAACTTACAAAACTGCACTCATCCTAGGCAAAAATAAAAAATAAACACTAAAAAAGCAATTAATAAAAATCTTCATGTCAAAAAAAAGATTAAATTTTTTAAACTTTCAAAATACTTAAACAGAATTTTACATAAAAATGACTAATTTGCAGTTTATTGCTACTTTTTTTGACCCTAATTACTTCTTACTTTTAGACACCTAAAAAGCCATTAAAAGTATGATTGATACAAAACATTGCTATTGTTACATGTTATTTCGTATAGTCAATGAAACATGTCAAAACTAAGTACAAAAAGAATGTATAATGGCGTTTAATGCATAAGAATTTATGGAAAAAAAGGGAGAAACTAATATAATTTTGGTGGGAAAACAATAGACTAGTAAAAGAGGACTTTAGTGTTTGTGAAGAGCCAAGTATCTTATATTATTATCAGTTTTACAAATAAAAAAATAAAACAATTCAGAATTTAATACTCAAGCAGGACACTTTGCAGAACATTTGATAAATGGTTTATAAAAAAATGGGAATGAACATTGTTGTTATTGAGTGTGAGTCTAACAATGTTAATACTTCTTTTGATAATAAGTTCAATAATACAATAAAAAGCAACAAAAAAAAAAAAAAATGATAGAACAGCTAAAAAAAAATATCATTAAATTTTGGGAAAAAAAGTTAAATTTAAACTAACTTGGACAACTTGTATGTTTGCTTTTATGCAAGATTAGTGGGAAAAAAAACTAATTAAGTTTACAGGCTTTAAGTTTACAAATTCTGAAATTTTCAGCAAAAAATCCATAGAAAGAACTATTAAAGAAGTAGCAAGTTTCTAGAACTGTTTATGAACATAATAGGCATTATGAATTTATAAAAAGAACAATGGCTCACAGAGTACTTGTTTATGTTTTAAAATTTAAACAATTTTTTTTTTAAACAAAAAGTTTGCATATTTATTGTATATAAGAAAATTCTGTCTATCTAAAAATTTATCTAAAGTTTCTAACAGAACTGTATCATAATTGAATACCAATAATATATATATATATATATATATATATATATATATATATATATATATATATATATATATATATATATATATATATATATATATATATATATATATACATATATATATATATATATACATATATATATATATATATATATATATATATATATATATATATATATATATATATATATATATATATATATAAATGTATATATATATATATATGTTTAACCTTTTGTGTTCTCATATAAGCTTGGGATTCTTTAAGCAAACAAACAATTAACTCAAAAAACAGATTATCATTGGGCAGCTTTCCTTCTTTTACCTACACAAAATAAATAACACATAATATATTTAGCAATAAATTTTTAAAGCTTAAATAAACCTTTTTATAGAGCAGAAATGTTTGAACTTATTTCATATAAATTTAAGAAAAAGTATGAAAAAATATACTTTTATTATCTATTTTAAAATTTAGTTTCTCCAACTCTCAACAAAAGATTTTTAATGTAATTTTCAATAATAACATGTTTCACTCACTACTTTTTTACTTTTTTAAATTTATCTAAACTATTGTTTTTAAATATAGTAGCTTTTGTATCAACAACGCAAGTTTATTGCAACTTTGTTAAATAAAACAAATTTGATATGTATGCTTAAACAATATTGATAGGTCTATATTTTATAAAAAGTTGCAACCATGCAATGTGAAAGATCTTAATGGGTACATATAAAATTTTACCAGAAACTTTTTTTAAGGTAAATTAAATTTTAAATTTTTGTATAAATGATTAAAATCAAATTTAAAGTCAAATTTATGTAAGTAATTATTTATTTGTTAAATAAAAATAAATCAAAAACAAATATTGATTAATTTTAAATATCTTTAAAACATTTAAAATGTAAAAATAAAAAAGTAATAATAATAAGTAAGAACAATCCAGGGGTTCTTTGAGTAATGTCTAACAGAGGGTTTGTCTAACAGAGCCAAAAAATGCCAACTTTTTTGATTTTGACTTTGTTGGACTTCTTTACTTGAATTTAAATCTTAACTACATAATTCGTAGTGATCTCCAATTTATGCCTCAAAACTTCTAAAGTTTGTTTTTGTTAAAGTTATAAATCCACTTAAGATCAATACCATTTTTAGATGTATATAGACACCATTGAATTTATATGTAGCCATTATAACCTTCTCTTTGAAAAGTCATGAAAAAACAAACATTGTACTAATTTGTAACATTGTACATTGGGCAATTTTAACATAGATTCATTAAATTGTAGAGAATCACAAAGTGTTTTAAACTATTTCAAATCCTAGTGACTCATTTCATTTCCTATTTCCTACCATAACTCTTCTACCATGTGTAACTGCAAAAAACTATAATCCTGATTGATAATTTCAGTAATTCATTTCCATCTAATCACAAGAAACAATTTGTCTGCTTTCCTAATAACCCACTAAATAAAAAAAGGTCAAAATTTTAGAAAAAGCTTTAAAAAGCTTTATTCTGATTCTTTTTTAGAAATTTATCATACAATTTTGCTTAGTTTTAAGGATTTTTTTAATTTATAATTAAAAGAAATTTAGATAACTTGAGATAACTGAAAAATATTTTTTGCTAATATCTACTTTGTATTGAGGCTGATGTTAGATAATGGCTGCATTTTCAAAAAATTTTCATATAAAAAATATGATAACATAAATAAGTCTATAAACTTGTTTCTTAAAACATTTGAAAAAAGTATTAGGCTAAAAAGTATTAAACAAAAAAATCAAGCATTAATCAAAACTCTGCATAACTTCTGGTATTATTAAATCTATTTCTGCTAAAAACATACTTTATAAAAGTTTTAGTAAGTTAAAAAATGCCAAAAGTCTATTTTTTTATATAAATATTATTATTTTTATGTTAATTCAACTCACCGGAGAAACCATTAAGGTTGAGAAGGGCTACTTTAATAAGTGTAACAACCGACTCTCAACTCTTTAACACGAACTCTGAAACGCAAAACTCTATAACACGAACTCTGAAACACAAACCTTGAGAAACAAGGCTGCACAGAGAAACAAATTGACTAAATTTATATAATTATATAGTTATACAGAAAAAAAATTAATTAAATCAGTAAATAAATTAGTAGCAATTTATTGAGATATTCTAAAAAATCATACTGATAATGCAAAGAATTGAACTTTTTACTAATACCAAGTCTCTTAGTCTTAAAATCAACATATGTATTCTTAGATATACATCATGTTGGTAATTTTAATGTTTATTTTGCGTCTATTCAAAACAAACTTCTTAAAATAATTATTTCTTTATTGAGTTGAGTATTCTTGTTCTGAGTTTTTGAGAAGTTTCTTAAAATACCTTAAACATATTTATTCTCGTGACTGAATATGAAATACACTAAAAAATGATAAAAGTCTAAGATCCAATAGTCTACCAACACTTCTTCTAGCTGATACCTTGCATCATCTCCAAATATCTATGTACTATGATAAATAAATTTTTCAAAAATGGTATTTTTTTAGAAGCTTTTAAGGTTGCCAAAGTAATTCTATATACAAAATTATCAACCTATTTTTCTTCATTTCAAATTAAGTAAAATGTTGAAAAAAGCAATGTTTCGCAGACTCCAGAATTTTTTGGAAAACTATAAATGTTTTTACGAACACTAATACTTTTGTACCAAACACTCAACAACTCATTCATTAAAGCTAGACTTTTTTTATACTTATCAATGGTTTAAATGTTTAACTTAAATTTTCTACTGCTTATCACTTTGTGGATGACACCAGAACTTATTCCTTATTAATAAATCACTTGAAAACTTTACAAAAATATGAATTAAAATTTAGCCAATATTGTTCAATGGTCTGATAAGTTATGCCTTACCTTCAACTTTATTCCTAAAAATAAATGAAATTCTTATATTTAAATCTATTCAAAAAAAAAAAAAAAGCAATTTAACATCAGATGAAGTAATTAAATATCAGATGATCAAAATAATTTGAGTTAATTCTATGAAATATCTCGGAATCAAAATTTAACTTTTACGGTGATTGATTTATTATGTGATAAATGTGACTCTATTTTATTTTTTATAATGCATCTTTAGGACTTAGTATTGAATTTTAGCAGATCGAATCATTATGATAATTATGATAATTATGAAATCTTAAATCTTAATTATGAAATTGTAATATTTATTTTTATCCAGATGTCATGTTTGGGGAAAATCTAAGTAGCTTGCTTTTTAAGACTAATTCATCTCCAAAACAAAGCCTTAGGACTTTTCAATTTACTAATTCAAACTCTAACATTTTTCTATTTTTTTATTTTGTCCTTAAATTATGTGATACTATTATATAATTTTGTCCTTAAATTGTGTGTTGCTATTATTGTTATAACTATTGCTATTTTTTATTATTGATTGATTTGTTATTGATAATTATTATTATTAATTATAGTTGTTTTTGTTATACTATTATTACTATTATTATCATTATAATTACCATTATTATTATCATTATTATTACAGTATACACTTTATAGTATCACTAATAGTGGTTACTTGGACCTTAAACAAACTCTTATTTTTAGGTGCATATGTTTAATGTCTTAGTATCGACTTTGAAAAAGCATTTGATAAAATCTTTTATATAGTTATCTCCTTGCAGATAAAAATGAATTTAAATAACCTGACATTGTATTTTGGTTACATTAAAAAGTTTGATTACACTGTTAATTATTATTTTTTTGCTTATTGTTATTATTTTGCTTACAGTTTTCTGTCATTGCAAATAGGTTTTAACTATTTTCACAGTGTCTATTAAAAAATGTTTTACAATAATGATTGTGTCAAACAATTTTTATGAGAACTTGCAAAAGAACATAACATAAATATAATACATTGCATATTTTAAAAAAGTAGATAGAAATTGATGTGAACTTTTCTCACATATCTTAAAACTATTTGTCTTGCATAAGCTTCCTCTGTTTTAGAATCCAATTGACCAAAATCCCAAACAAGTGGAATTAGGCTGTTTGGTAAAGGATGTACACGATAAACCAATTGTCTCAAGGGAATATCAC